TATTAATTGAGTGAATGATTAAAATACAGAATAAGCACTTTTGACAATAAATAACTGAATCATAATCCTTTTTTTATTGCATTTCTCTGGGCCTGATTAGCCAGTATCATGCTGCGTGGAAAATACATGGCATATTTCTTAGTAATAGCTCTGACTGGGACAAGGCTATAAACGTCACACCCATACCTCTTTATCTACAGGTAGATAAGGTTAATTCACTGTCTCATCGGCTGGGGAGCTGATGAACCATTTGATGTTAAAGGGTAATTGACTGTGTCTGAGTAGTGTTGTGTGTGAGTGGTGATCAGGAGATTTTGTGTGTGTGTGTGTGTGCGTGTTTGTGTTTGTGTGGTGGAGGGAGTATCACTCTCAGAAGCATAGGTGTCAGCATACTGTCAGAAAAGATTACGGGCATCATTAAAATATTGTGACCTTAAAGTGAACCCATCTACCTCTGCACTGACTCATCAGTACCTACTGATGCTGTTGTAGTAAATTTCTATACTGGCTACATTGCCATACTCAGTCAAATGTTGGAGGAAGTCAAACAAAAAGTGTGTTTGGCCTCCTCCACCAGCTGTGCACTGTATGATTATGCTTCATCATGTCTCACCTGGCCCCTGAAAACCACATTCAGTTATGTGACAGTGTATGACCCTCATCCTCCTGTGGTCACAGGTGGTCTGCCACACCTTCCCTGTGTGATGACACTTGAGCAGAGAGGAAACCGAGGCCGGACATATAATCAAAAGCTCCCACTGACCCCAACCTGCGTGTCTTTGCTGCTGTTACTGTGACATTAAGCAGACAGGAAATTTACAATACTCCTCAGGGCAGCAAGGACACAGGAAGAGGAGTTGTCATGGTAACGGACCCCTACATGGCTGTCAGAATTGTTTAATTATTCAGGACCACCATCACTGAGCATCAGCGGGGACTCAACTGGAGCCGCTCATCCGATTGAATGGTGAGATTAACAAATAATACCATGTGGCAAGTTGGGGAATCCAAATAAACTTACCTTGAATATCTTAAACTGTTGGGTTATAGAGCTCCTGAGTGCACTCAGCTAATGAGTATTCACTGCCCTGCGCACACAGTTCATTTCTATGCAAACGTGCACACACCAGTAATCCACTAATCTAAGGACGACAGGAAGCTCTTCTTTCAAATATATGTGGTGATGTCAGTTAATTTGATCAGGGCTGTACATGCTGTACATGTGGCTGTGTTTGGCGTCCACTAAGTAGATACTCATGCTTTCTACCATGGTACATAACTAAAAAGAGGTAACTGCATATTTAGTCAAAGTTTAGTTAAGACTTGTTTAAAAACACATAATGCTGCATAAATGTATCATTTCAAAGAAAACAGCAAAAGATAACTTGCAGGCTACAAGCCCACTTAAAGGTATCTGGTGAGAAGGCTAAAGCCAATTGTCCTTATTTTTCTCCTGATCTGTTTCCTGTGTTTTCCCCTCATATATTCCCACACAGGTTTTTTTTTGTTGCAGTTTTTAGGTCTTAAATATGTCAATGATTACTAATAACTTTTGTTTTAAAATAATCACTTTAAAAGACATACAAATTGAGACCTTATTCTGTATATCAGTTTACCCGGTCAGCCAAAGAAATTTCAGAAACTTCACAATTTCAGCTTTTCTGTACTCATGCTCTCTGCCTTTGTAGGATGGATTTGTCTCCACTTTTCCTTCTCATTTAACCTTTTGAAGAAGGGTTAGAAAGAGCAGGAAAAAAACACAAAAAAAGAAAAGATACAGTGATGTGTCATAATGTCAAGTGCATGTTGCCATAGCTATACCCTTCTCATTAAAACAATGTACAGCATAACGCTTAAGGCTACCACCCACACTCCAGCACACACACCAGTCTCTACAGTGTCATATTTTTAGCTATGGCATTTCTCTAATTGTATTTGCGCAGTTCAAAAGCCTGAGTATTACATAATTAAAACTCCACTGTAAAGAACGCTCAGTCAATCCATATCACATAGAAACATAATCATCAAAAGGAGTCAAAAGAAAAAAAACTACAAAAAAACACAAATATCAGCCCATACACAGCTTGAAATATTTTGTGGCAGTGGCAGATCTGATGGAAATATTGTCATTGTTCGTACTGATAATAACTCAATGTGAAATTTGAAATGTGTCCAGACCAACCTAAAACACAGGGTTCTGCAGAGACAATCAGTGAGAAACGGTAGTTATCCCACCACTTTTCCTTCCTTATGGCAGATGCCTGGGTGTTAGAGGGACCTGCTATCCTCATGTGCATCGTTTCGCCTGCAGAGTGTCACACCAATCTGTCCTCTCTCATTTCCAGAATGGTGTGAAGTGTGTGGGAGCACTCAGTCTTTATGGTCAGAGACCATTTTATGGACAAGTAAATTCACTGTCAGAGCCATATGGTGGGCTGTAGTGTGTTAGGACTGCACCATATTTCTTTAGGCAGTGACAGTTTTTATATCCTTGTCTTGTCAAGGAGCTTCACACACACACACACACAGAAACGATCAGTCTCACTAGGATATCAATAGCAGTAGCATGACAGTAGATGTTTGTCTGATTTAATGAGGCAACTGCCATTTAAACTTTCATTTATCTGTTTATCGTATATGTTGCTGTTCGCTTTTAGTTCTAACTGCTAACTTTAGAACAAGTTGCCTCTTGTGGATGATGAATTAATAATTTTCTTACTGCACTCTACCAGGCCGTATTTTTTTTCTACAACTGATAGTTTTACTTCAAGAAGATCTCTAGAGACTTATTAAAACTCTACAATATCCCTCTGGCCACCTCTTTGTTGGTGACTGATGGGTCCAAATAAAGAGAGATGGTTATTTACAGGCTACAGTTTGATGGTGATTTTTCAGTCTTCTATAAGCTAGTCATATTGTCAATATGAAAATGTAGATTTGTGCCAGGAACAATTTAGAGTGAAGGCAGGAACTCCTGAAAAATACTAGGCTGCCCCCAAGTGGTGAAGTTGTATAGCTGATGCAAAAAGCAAATGAATAGTAAGACATTTTTGCATTTGTCAGACCTATAAATCCACTAAACAAATAATGAAATAATAAAATATGATTTTATCACAAAGCATAAATGTTTATTTAATTGGCAATTTCATAACAAATGCTGAGTTTTCCATGTTGAACAAATTGACTTAAGTTCTTCCAAATGACAAAAAACAACAGTAAATACACACTATTGACAACCAGTTTTCCATTACATGTACAGTTTGAGTTAAACACCATATTTACAAAGCTCACTTCTATTTAAAAAAAGATGAAGAACTCTCTGGTTGTGCATCATATGAACAAAAGGCAAAGGATGGAAACATCTTTCTCTCATTCTTTTGCTCCTCTTTCTTCCGCGTTAACAGTAGAGTGGTTAAAAGGCAACAAGGTAATTGTCCTCTCTCTATCTCACATGATCAGTCATATACTCACACAGTCACACACACACGCATACACAGTCACAGATAGGTACTCATCATTGCTCAGTGGGGGAGCCCTGCTCACATCCAAACACCCTATAAAAGATTATATACTGTAGGTCAAAACATAAAGCCTTATACCTTACAGCTGGTATATTATCTATATGCATTTTTTTGCTGCTCACTACTGTACAGTCAGGGTACCATCTCTAAAAAGCACCCTGTAATGTATCTAAACACGGTTTTGGCAATAATGCACATGAAAAGGTCATAAATGAGGCAGATGAAAGATAAAACATTCAATGCTGTTTAAGAAAACAAAAATAGGAAGAAAAGTAACATAATATGTATATTTGTGCTGGACATGTGGCCAGCACTTGAGACACCATTATTGCAAGAAGATAAATAAAAGATATGAGATAAAAGATCCAGTAAGTCCATGTAAGAATCCATAAAAAGGTGCTTAAAGTCTTTAGTTGTACAGCTGCACGATGATCAGAGGTTTTCCAGTTAAAGTTCAGTTGTTACAGATCTCAACTAAAAAGATAAAAGATGTGTTTGAGGATTAGTGGAAAGAAAGTAATGACCTACATAGTAGTAAGGTACCTGTTTAATGACATTATGATGTGTTAGACAGGCAAGATAGCCAAATCAATTTCACTACAAACCACTGTATGCCTATATAACTATTTAAATATTTATATGGATATGGCTTGTAATGACTTGACATGTTTTGCATTAAATAATCCCTAACACATCTAACCCACTGGCTCGGTTTTATAATATTACATGTTAATTTTCGTCTGTTTAATTCTCAGATGCAATGGCACTTTTCATCATTTCCTTTTGACCTGAGCACATCTAATACATCTTTAATTTTCAGTTCCAATCGAACATGATCTCATTTCAGGGACAATGCGATTTATTTTCATAATTTCCCACCGGCGTGTGTGTATCTAATGCATTATGTTTTGTTTTCAGACGCGACCCAATTCATTCTGTTCTTATTTACCACATAATAAATAACAATATTGGTAGGTAGATGTTAAAGGTTGCTTTGGGTTTGTTTTTTCTGTTGTCGAAGATAAACAACTGAGTTACAGTATTGCAAAGCTCTATTTGATCACTTTGGCTGATAAGGCAAGTTGTGTCTTTAAAAAGGTGCTACATGTAAGTTTTTTGCTGTTGCTACATAGTCAACGTTAGCCTTAACAGCTGTTCACCTACAGTCTAGAAGAAATATTGCTAGTTCAGCATCAAACTTCATTCTATTTACTCACCAAGAGCTGTCTCCAGTGGTGGAAAGCACCGCCAATGTTGACTCCGTTTGTTTCTATTTCTATCACTTATGTTCTTCTACTGAACTTAGCTTGCTAACCAGTTAGCCCTGGCCCATCCTGTCACATAATACTACTTTGCGACAGTGAATCATTGTAGCGTCCAGTCTGCCCTCAGCTCAGTATGAGAGGATGAAGAAGTAGCGCTGATCAGTGGGTGTATTCTAACCTCTTGTCTTGTAAATGCAAGACTAAAGCTCTTGGCAAGTGACCATCTCCACTACCACCACCACCCGCTCCTGGCAACAAACCATGTTAAGCAGCAGAGAAAACATACATATAGCAACTTTAAAAGGAAAGTGCATTGACTCAGCGGCCCCAAGGCATACTTACACACACACGCACGCACACACACACAAACAAAATCACAAAAATACTCCCCCGTCCATAATAAAATACCTTCTCTCCATTTGATATTGGTAAACATCTTGGCTTTTGTTAATAAATTAAAGGTTCAGCAGTTCACATTCATCAGCTGGTTGTGTGTGTTTGTGTATCTGTGTGCAAGAGTGTTTTGGGTAGGTAAGTTGTACATTTCACATTGGTCACTGAAGTCCTGTGGCTTTTTTAAGTAGCTCCAGGTCTTTGCGCTTTTGAGCTGCAGGTGGCGTACAGCCGTATGCCTCCAAACCCAGGGGTAAGTAGCGCTCCTGCAGCCTCAGGAAGTCATCCCCCTGCCCGGTATACAGAGAAACCCACGAAGGGGGAGAGGAACCACCCTGGAAGCCCCAGAGTGCCAGACTCTCTGTGGTGAGAGGCAGCAATAAGAGTGTAAGAAAAAAAAGAGATGTTGGCCCAAAATACAGTTACCACAGAGATAGAAAGGGAAACAATTTAGTATGGCACTAACCTTTACCGTGTAGACTAGCAGCTTTAGCCATACCAAAGGAGATCAGATATGGTGCTACACCAACCAGGCCTTCTGGCTGACCTCGAGTTGCCATGAGCACTATTGACCTGTTGAGGAAACAAACAAGTCTGAAAATTAAGCATGGCTCAAAAAAATTCTGCTATACTGTGCTGTTGCTGAGAAAAAGATACAAAATGAAAAGCAGATTTGTTAAAAACAAACAAACAAACAAAATAGTAATGTCCTTTGCCCATGTCAGAAATATAAATACATAGGGTGTGAACAGTATCATATTTTCCCTGGCTCACTTCTTTGGTATTCCGGTTTTTAAGTACTGTTCCATCTTGGCATCCATTTTGGAAAATGAGGTTTTCTTGGTGACTTTTCCGGAGCAGGCATCCACTGAGACCAGGAAATATCCAGGCTGAGAGAAGGGCATGGTCACCGCATTCACCTGGCCGGTAAGAGGAAAAAATAGGTTGAACAAACCCTGATTCACAGGCCCTAGTAACATAGATAAGATCAAGGGTTTGGATTTGTTTTTGTACTTGAGGCCTGGCATGCTCACAGTTATAAAAGAGCTGTTATCTCCTCTCTGCTGCTCTTTGCTGCTGAGAGACTTGATTTGTGTCTGGAGGTAGAGGGTCCATGGCTCGCTGGAAAACACAAGCTAGAGAGATAGAAACAAATTGGTCAGCAGTGGTGGCTTGCATTTTAAACAGCTGAATGGAGGTTATCTTAAATATAACAACACAAACCTGTTTAGCACCACATCCTTTGCAGGGGTTTGAGTTTAGAGCTGGCATGGGAATCACCGCTGAGGGAGTCTTGGAGTACTTGGGGTAAGCCTTAGCTGTACAGTTACAGGTCTGTTTGGAGGACGTTGTGGCCATGACTTTCACTCTTTCACAGCCTTTCACGGAACAGTAGCTGTGACCATCACGACCATGCCGGGCCCGAAGGTAGAGCCACAACAAGCTGGGTGTGAAATGAAAAACAGGAGAAAAAGGCAGTTTTTAAAAACTAAAATAAGGAGCCTAAAAGAGACAAAAGGGGATGAAAGATAAAAATAGTTAGAATGAAAACATAGGACATGTAGGACATGTACAAACCTTAACTCACTCTCTCAGAGAGAGAGAGAGGGTTTAAAGAAAAACAAGAAGGAAACTGAGAGGACTGGGTTTTGTTTTCTCACCCCACAGGTTGGTCAAAGAAGTATTTCCTTTCCATCGGTCTCTTCTTCAGCTCTGCAAGGGATGACACAGTGCCGTAGTCTGTGATGTCATCAAAAGTGTTGCTTTGCCTATCGTTGATGTCGGCCATGATCTGAAATGTGGTTTCTGATGGGTAACAGAGTCCCACCAGCACCCAGTCATCTCTTCGTGAGAGAAAGAGAAAGTGAGACACATTACAATACACAAGATTTCCTCCAAGACCATTTAGAACTAGAAGATAACGATTATGGTCTGGTTCTAATGTAGTCATTATGATTCACAAAAACATCTGAAAAAACACAATTTCATACAGTGATGCTGTGAATTCTCAGTGGTGTATTTCTGCATGTTTGAATTGGAATATCTTGTTGTTCTATGTCTTTCTAAAGGAGAAAAATATGTCATATGTCTCATTTGCAAAACATTACAGAAATGCAGCAGCTTTCATCACACACAAACACACTTCTTACTCTCGTTACTCACTTATCAAAGTTGATGAGAGAGAGGACAACCTCTCTGGGCGCAGGGCCACTCCAGTGCAGAGTGTAGCTCTTGCTCATCATCAGGATGGGCTGGTACTGCTGAGACAGTGCCCCCTGGCTGTTAATCCCCCTCAGCACCAGAGGAGCATCAGGATATTCATCTCTGCTGATGGATAAACTGAGGCTGGGGGCTCCCTGTGTCTGGATGTACACCTGAAGAAGAAGAGGATGTGTCAGAGTGCACAGGTCAGAAGGAGTGCACATTTTACATCAGAAAGACAGAATAACAAGATTGAGGTGTCGACCTGGACATGCTCTACCTGAGAGTAGCGGCCGCTGCAGATCACTCCACTCCACCGGGAAATGTTCACACAGCCAGGATGTTGGATCAGGTAATTGTCTGCTCTGCCGACGTAGGTGTCTCTGTAGCCGGTTACTGACCCATCCACATCATGAAAGATGGAGTTTTTGTCACCGTCCAGGTCATTCTCTTCAAACCATTGTCCAGGGCGACCAAAGAACGTCCGCAGTCCCACCTGAGGATATTAGTGGCAAAGACAGTTGAGAATACCCTCATAAGAATTTTAGCACTATTTAAAAATTCAAGGTATCATTGCTTTGTTTAAGTGCCACCTTTGGTAAAAGGCTGTTTAGGAGTGCTCTCTCCAGTGAAGATGCTATTTAATTATTTAATGTGATTATATTTCATCAACATAACCTGGCTATCTGCTTTCAAAGAATTCCATAATGATAATCACTGTCCTCCTAGGAGAGAGAGATATAGAAACCATCCATGTCATTTCATTTCAATTTCTCAAGCACTTCAGAAGCACAAGACTTTGCTCTCTGATACCTTTTTTTTCCACACAGGATTCTAATTTAGAAAGATTACGGCCCCACATCAATTACGAATATATGCCACTGTAAATGTTTACTGTGTGTTTAGGATGAGTATAGCAATGATACTAGGCTTTAAGGGAGCAGATTTGATGAGTTGGAGATATAGTAAAGTCAAGACAGTAAATTGGGTTTTATGTGTTTAAAGGCAGTATATTGTCAAATACCACCACAAGAGGGCACCAGTGATTCAAAATAGTTTCACCACAGGCCTGCCCCTAAAAGAGGTCTTCCTTTTCTTCTCATTTCTTCTGTCTAACTGATGTTTCAAATAACTGCCAACTCTGTGAGTCTGATCTGATCTAATCAATATGAGGGGATGGGTATGGGGGTGGAGAACAAATAAGAGCAATCTGCCAAAGAGGAAACAGTCAGACCCAATGTACCAGGAGGATGGACACAAAGTGAGGTAGGGACAAATGGTGAGGACTAAGATAAATTAAAAATCTGTCAATCCAAGGAGAGTTCCCATCTACTGTATACCATAACAGCAGTTGATCTGCAGACCACAAGAAACAACAACAACAAGCCTAATGCTAACCCAACAACAACAACAAGTAAGAGGCAACAGATGGATAAAGAGGAAAGAGGAGAGAGCTGACCAAAATTCAAGGTTTAAAACAAGATCATTAAAGTCCCATGGGGGTATTTTTTCTAAAATGTCATATGATCAAACAAGTCAAGTGGTCACTAGTTATTATAAACCATTATTGATCATTATGAGCAGATTCCAATGAAATATGACACATTATACTATAATACAGTATGTGTGTCTGACACCCAGGGCACGTACTGTATATTTACTACACATCCAACTGTATGATGTGTGAAGCAAAGTCTTATCAAACCTGGATGTTTACTCACATTGGAGTGGAAGCTGAGCTGGGACAAGTTGTTTCGTGGGGTGAGCTGCCAGGTGTTCTTCAAGTTGAATCCCACTGCGTTGGTATAACGCTCTGGGGTGGGGATGAAGCCACGAAATGTGCTCTGGGTAAGCCGCACTGGACCATCATAGATCTGGAAACCTCGGATTGGAAATGTCCTGCAGTTCACACAGAGACAGACATAGTACAGGATTAGGCAAGACAACTGACAGCAATAAAGTAAAAGGAGTACCATTCAAACTGATGACCACAGGTTTAAGTCATGGACTGACTAAAACCCAAAACTTCAAAAGAGTTTCAACTCCAACACGATTCAGCCAGGCCATGAGCTCACCAGGGAGCAGGACATAAACTGCCTCAGACACGACATGCTCCATAATTCTTAGTTATATGGGCTTTCAGTCAATTTTACAATTCCAAGGGTTTCCCCCAAAATGATTCCCAACCATGTTGCCGTTAGTAATGTAGGCACTGTGGTCAATGTAAGGCATTGTTGAACTTCATCTTAATGTATGTATGTTAAACAGAATTATAAGAAAAACAGACCACAGAGCTGGAAATTGTACCTTTTTCCAAACCAAATAGTGTGTCACACAATGTACAAGAATTGTTTGTATGGAAAAAAGTTAAGTTGGTTAAGACTGATGCTCTTGGATGATATTGAGGGTATCATTAAGATTTTTAACTTGCCATCAGATGAGGACTTAAGGCTGAACTGTTAATTTCATTTATTTTTATAATGTGGGTGTTGCAAAGTGATTTAAGTGATTTCACAAAAATGAAAAAACTGCTTGGCAGTCTTATGTAATTGCTGTTAATGAAACTTTTCTGAACTTGCATTTACTTTAAGGATCAAACTGTCTATTTTAGTGAAACTATCTTCTTTCTGGCAAGAAAAAAAAGCATGTCAGCAGCTCTGGCAGTAACTACGATGACGACAGACAGACCGACTGAGTCAGATGTCACTGTGCGGTCACAAAGCCTGTAAAATGGTTTTAAAGTTGTACACAGTGGTAACAGTGGTTACAAACTGACATAAACTGTAGTTCCTGAAATTAAAAAAAGGCAGCTATTTGCCAATCTCTCGTTTATGTTGCTCTCTTTTTGTATAACAATCTCTGTAATGAGAGTAAACGACAGAAAGAAAGAAGTAAGGAGACCCTGAGGGGACATAAAGCTCAAAACTCTGCTCTCATTAGGACTGTCCACTTAGTCTGATATGGCATTACAGCATGGAGAGACTCCATAAACTTCCTCATAATGGAAGTCCAAGTGCCAGTGAGGCACAAGTAGTGCGAGACCAACACACGTTTGGTCTTGTCAAACATCTGTTTGCTTTACCTGTCAATGGGAGCACTATTACTGAGATCTTCATGTTCCTTTCCAAAGATAACAAAAAACTGTGCGTCAGAGAAGCCTGAAATCTTAATGAGAAAAGAACTGCCCTTGCTCTAGTGCTACAATGAGCAATCCCTTTTGTATAGAATCATGTAAGCATTACCCCCACCGTTTCTCATAAACTGACTAAAATATCAGTGGAAGGAAGTTAGTCAAAACAGAACTTCCTTCCACTAAAAGCAGCTGTGGCAGCCTCATCCATCCATCTGTACAACTACCTGATTGCTTCACTGGCTCTCTATTACTTGTTTGTTTTTCTCAGTTTATTTCTTACGCAACTCCTCCAACACTGTCTCCTTCAATTCCTAAGAAAACATTGTATGATTTGAACTTTTCCCTCAATTCCTCACACATATCTTACCTGCCTTCATTAACGTATCCCTCCCTGTTTGCTCCCCCTTACCTGTTTCTAGGCAATGTCCTCATCTTTCCATCAGCCCCTCCTGGTCCCCAGTATTTATTCTGTCCTCCATTGGTCCCTCTGTTTCGGCTTTCACCCACAAACAGGGATTGTATCACCTCCTGGCTGGAGCCTTCATCCTTCGGGTAGCTACCATCACTGGAGAATAAAAAGGAGATAAGGGTATATAGTAATTAAAACATAAATATCATACACACGTTTATATGTTTATAATGCTGTCTGCTTTTAGGAATGAAAGTAGAAGAAAATTGCAGGTCACTGTGTTAAACAAGAAAAAGATGCTTGTGACCCCACGGGAAATATTAAGTATCTGCTTGACACTCAGTATCTATCAATCACAAATAGTTTTTGGCAAGTTCATCTGGCAGAGAGAGAAAGAGATGAGAATGCTTGGACAAGAGTGATTTAGATAAGTACACACCTGGCAAAGGATAGGCCCACTCCATTGTCTGCAAAGCTGAAAGCAGAAAAATAAAAGAAGTATGTGTTAGTCTTACAACATGTACTAAGTACCTATAAATCGAATGGAACGATCTGATAATGTATTCAAAATGATATCTGGCTCTTCATAAAAATAATTATTTTTCAGTTCATCGTTATCACTTTAAAAACTATGGGAATCAATCCAGGAGGAGAGGAAAAGTGCAATTTGTTATAAACTGTAGATGATGTCATCACAGGGAGTTGAAGTGAGATTACTTCATACATCATGCTACTAGCACAAATTTTAATAATCCTATTTTTTTTTTCTTTTTTTGGACACAATCCCGTCAGTTTCATCAGAAATATCCCAGTCCTCAGTTCCCCTGAAGACATGACACTAATGACCCTGGAGCCTATGAGTCGTCGCACCCAGAGTTCTGGATGACGATGTCACCGCCCCGTATCCACGCTCCCAAGTCGTTGTTCTTGAAGGATATCAGGGTGTCGATGACTGCCGCCACGCGAGGACGGCTAGGGTCAGCATTCTGGTGTGGTCTGAATCTGAAAAAACACACATGTAGATATATACACAGTTTTTATTACTGTCCTTGTGACTTTCCATCAACTACACTCATTGCTCACACACACACACACACACACACACACACACACACACACACACACACACACACACACACACACACACACACACAAACACACACACACACACACACACACACACACACACACAAAGTGGGCTAACGGTTAATGGTTTTCATTAGCTTGGTGACTCTTAATAGCTTTTGGGAGGATATGAGTGACTAATGGAGCTGATAATCATAACATCATCATACTATAAATCTGTGTAGACATAATATATAACTAAACTAAAAGTCTAAAGGCTCACTGTTGAAGTGTAGAGACTGCAGGCTTCAATGCTCAGTGCCTCCCACAACATGCACTATGACTGGCATTGTAGAAGAGTACATTATGTCATTAAATACAAAAGGTTTTATCTCCCAACGGTGCATAAATGTGCTTAGAAAAGTTTTATCTTTATCTTCTCATTAGATTAGAAAATATCATGTGTACAAAGTTGAGAGAAACCGGAAATGATTTTTTGTTTTCACAAAAGGACAGGGCTTATCCTTTTTTCCAGCCTAGTGGTGGCACTCAATTCAGATTAGGGCTCACCTTGAACATGTGTTTATGCTCTGGATACCATTAACATCCAGAAATGTGTGTAAATCTGGCTGTTAGTTTTTAAAATACTTTGCTGTGGACCAAAGTCTTAGTCAAGGAGGAATATTAACCTGAACGTGGCATGAGATGAATAAATGGTCAGAGGTTCACTTAAATTAGAAGGAACCTTTTTCTGGGAAATATTAATATCTAATATCCTCTTCTTAGAATTTCTTACAATCACACAAGTCTTTCTCTCTCTCTCATGTAGGATTAATACTTAGTTCGCATTTTACATTTAAAATCCTCCCCCACATACCTCTACCCACATACATATACTGACACACACACACACACACACACACACACACACACACACACACACACACACACAGCGTGGCCAGTAGTCTCAGTGGACACGTCAGATTTTTTCCGTCTGGTTGAGGGCTGTATTTGGGTAGGGAGCTACAGAGTGGAAACTCTATCTGTGAAGCCTTGTTTTCTCTGTCAACACAAACCTGACAGACCTTCCACTAAAATGCAGTAACAGAGTAAAAGGCCATCTATCTATCCCAGTCAATGGCCATATCCTAGTATATGTACAGTAAAAAGCTATAAATAATTTATAAACAATTCCTGACAGTGGCATTACACAAATATATTAGTAAGCCACAAATACCTCAATATTTACATAGTGTAACTGTACACCATGATGCATATGATCATGCACCACAGACCCTCTAGTAGTGCACAGTTATAGGCTTTGTGCAAAAACATACACAGTGTACTAGTTGGTTGTGATTCAATATCCATTGGCATACACTTACAACAAAATATTCAAGGAATCCAAAATAATCATAAAATAAAAAAAAACTCTTGGGAGCAATCATTATGTCTTTACACAGTGTAACTGACAGACTGTACACTTCTCACACTGTAAAATGCTAAAATGCTATTGCACAGACATTTGCACACACCTGGCACTGTTATCTAGACACAGGTATTCCCGGGGGTCAGCAGCACTGGCATTGGTGGTCTTCACTCCCTTATCAATGAACAGTCCTGCCTAAGAAGAAGAAAGCATGATTATAATATAATGCCACCTTTTCTTTAAAACTATGGATAAAGATCCAAGATGGACCAGAGGTTTATTTTTGCTGAACTGGCATAAACAAGACTACTGGTATATTTTACAGTGTGGGACTTGGGGCAATAATAAATGGACTAAATTTAAATCCTGGCCTGACAGAGTCATAGAGTGAATGCTGCACAGGCTACTGCAGAAAGTAGGGAAAGTGAGTAATGTATGTGAATGTGTAATGGATATTTACATACTCCATAATATATGGATTAGTTTTATATGTTTAAAATTTAATTGTAAAATAAATCAAATGAAAAATGTTATATGTCTGTGTGTTTGTGTGTCTATCTAATGTACTGTATACGGAAACATGTGCTTGACTATACTTCGCTTATACCACAAGACCAACATGAGTTGGTCTTGTGTGTCGCTTATACCACAAAACCAATATGAGTTGGTCTTGTGGTATAAGCCTTAAACCTTGGGGCTCCTTCCTCTATAAGAGAGGCTGCTGTGGTCAGACTGGACAAAGAACTTACAGTTCACCTGCCCGACTTCTGTCATTACACAACAGAGCACTATTGTAGAGCTACCTACTCGTGTGTGCGAGTGTGTGTGTCCCTGCCCCTTTTTGGCAAGAAAACCAAGTAAGTAAGCAAAGAATTATGTGCATTTTTTTTTTACAAGTTATAAACACTGTATATATAAACACTGACTTCAACATACACTGATAATACAAAAAGAGCTTAAAGATAAGAAACACTGATGATACCTTAAAGTTGGAGTGTACACGGTTGTTGTAAAAAATGCCAAGGGGAGTGAGCTCTGCCTTGGTCTCTGGTACCAGCCCATGAGAGTCTCCAGTGGAAGAGCTGTGGAACACAAACCATATGCCAGCGTCCTGCAACAGGAAGTAAAAGTGCAGAAATAAGGTGATAAACATACACTTATACACACTCCATCTATAGGTGATTTGAGGTAAAATACAAAAAATAACAGGCAGGATATCATATTATTCTCATGCTGGTCAAGTCCCACAGCAAGAATAAACCAGGTTGAAGAGTTCATATAAGCTCAATAGCTTACTGAAGTTTAAGGTTAATCAGATATTGACAGGCACCTAAATATCACGCAAATATCCCCCTACAAATAAGCGGTATACTTCTTAGCCCTCCCCTGTGGACTTCCACATTGTTTGCACCAAAATGAAAAAGAGATAGGATCAGGGATCCTTGTCTTCTACTTTCATATTTTAGAGGTCTCACTATGTTATTGCACCCCTCTATCAAACACTAAAGCCTGTTAAATCCCATTTTATTGATGGATCACTTTTTATGAGCATATAAATCTTTAATTTTTATTACGTAAAGGTCAAGACAGCAAAGCCACTGTAACTTCAGTTGATATATCACTAACAGACTCTTCTTGTTTTCACTCATTTTTTCTTAATCATGTGTAAAAAGTTATTTTGAAGCTGTTTTCTTAGATATCTCTGATGTTATTACCTGAGAACCAGCAGCTGCGTTGCTGATGAGGTTGTTATTAGGGTTGGCTATCCAGAATGTTGAGACTGCCCTGGAAAACACCCCCATCACGCAAGACAAAGACAGAGACACACACACACACACACACACACACACACACACACACACACACACACACACACACACAGACATACAAGCAGAAGAAGATATTAAAAGGGCAGTACCTTAGCATATCAGAGACTATGACTAATAAGCAGAAGAAAAATCAAAGTGATCTTTTGAAAATTCCCTTAATAATCCACCTCTCCAACATAAACCCTGGACGGGGTGAGCTCTGCCAAGACTCACACACACTCACACTGAACCTCCTGGAAACAGACCTTGCTGCTTTCCTCACAGAGGAACTTTTCTTGTTCTTGCTACGGCATAAAAACAACCCATGGAGAGGACAGGTTGTTACTGCATGGATAAAACCACCCTAGCAATATCTCTCTACACTACACACTATTACTAATTAAAGTATCTCTCTCTCATGGACATGGGCCCTCTGTCTCTTCCAGGTATTTTATATTAAAAGGAAACTAAAACAAAGCCTTTCTCATCAGTGCTTTAAATGAAACTGAACTAGCTTGTGACATACTGAAAACATCACTCTAAATGTTTTGTGTAATGTGTAATAATTTTAACCTGTGCATGTGCACAAAGCAGTTATGGATGGAAGTTAATAAATTGTCAAAACTACTAAATAAAACTCGAACTTATTAACTTATCAACTTATTCAACTTAGATTTGCTAAGAAATGCATTGTGACTAGTCATAGACATGTTCTTGATAATGGTGCAGAATCTCATGTTGTTACCAACTTGCTTTGCACTCATATCTCCAACCAGAGATATAGCATGTCATTCCTCTAATCTCTTACTTGCAGTCTGTGCTGGGTAAGGGAGTGTAGCCCTTGTAGACTTTGTCCTTAATGCTGGTGCAGAGGGTGTCATTGCGGTCAGTGGGCAGCAGAGTCCCAGGTCGAGTCAGCAGGCCAAGGTTGTGGTAGAAAGTGTTCCGCTGCTCAATCCCATCCTCAAGGAAAAAACAGTGACCCAAGGTGTCATAACCTACAGTGTTCTTCACCTGGGTAAAAGAAAGAGGACCACAAGACACAAAGAAGAATAATTTAGAGCACAGGACGATTTTCACCACATAGTCCCTGGCAGGACAGAAAAATAAATACTGTACTATATTCCAATCATAGCTCTCTCTCCTTTTCCAAGGGGTAGGTAGTTCACACCTAATGGAAATATGCAGAAAATCCTGGTAAACAAGAGAGCTAGGACATTTGTTAATGATCCACAGGAAAATACATTACATTTCAACTGCTAGATGCCTGCCTCCTTAAATACATAAAATTTTGCAACTAATTATGTATTTAATTTTTTTTTTTTTTTTTTTTTAATCAAATCCATCTATAGCTATGTAGACAATGATGGTATGAAGAGACCTGCTGAAGAAGACACACAACAAAGGAATATTCACATGGTCATTGTGCCAGAAGTGAAACAGGAAAAAACAGCAGAGTCACACAATGTTATCCAAAACTTTTCCATTTCCTTGATGCAACGAGGAAGAATGCTTTCACTCCTATGGCCTCAAGGACAAACATTAACCCATCACCATTTGACGTCAAGAGGGAGCATAAAACACACACACACACTCTCACACACACACACACGCACACACGCACACACACACACACACCGTAAAAAAACAGAATCACACAGAAAGACATTGTGATTCTGCAGTTTATCAAACATCACATCACTTCATTTTACTTATCCAACAAGTACATAAAAATCATATCTTTCCAAAGAGACTGAAAAAACAGATCATTCTATAATGGAGAAAGAGATGAGACAGAAGGGTTTGAAGAGAGAGTGTAAGGAAAAGGGAGCGAGACAAAGACAAAAGGAAGAAGGAAACAAACCATTACAGTAATCCAGTGATGGAGGCTGTAATTGATGAGCATTCAACAGTCACTACCACATGGTACTCATTAGTAAGAGCTGTCTGTGTTTCTGCATCTGTCTTTTCATTATCTCATACACTATAGACTGGATCAACACAGCCACACACATATACTTTACTAACCAGCAAACCATTGGTGGCGTGGATGGTGAGACAGCGGGAGAAGGAGTGGTGTATGGAGAGTCCGTCCACATAGGTGGGCTCCCAGTAGCCTCCCTTCTGGTCGACATCCCCGCACATGTGAAAGTGGAGGGGGTAGCGGCCCGTCTCTCCCTGCTGACCCATGTTCTTCAGCTCCACGTGGGACAGATGCACTGATGAAAAGTTACCAAAGATCTGATGGTATTGGAGAGAGAGAAAACCAAGACAGGCTAGAGTGGAGGATAAGTCGCAAAAGACAGGGAGATTTTAAGAATTGATCAAGCAAGAACAATGGTCTATTATACAGTGCAAAAGTAAACACAAGGTTCACATTTTTCCACAAAAGTAGGGTAACTGTCTAGCCACTCCAGTTAAAGATTTGGGTCTACAGTGCGATTCTGTGTTTGTCTATGATCCCACTGGGATATGCGCAATAGCTGAGTCGGCACCATCCTCAAGTGAGTCAAACTACTCCAGAACCAGTTATACAAGCATAAATAAAAAGCTACATAGAGATGCACACATGCAAAACACAAATGTACCAGAGAGCAAATTAAGTCAAACATGAACGTCAACAAATAATCCAATACAAATATGCTGTACAATGCTCTCCAGGAGGTCTTTTTGTGGGTATGGCATAATCCACATGGCCTGGTTCTTGTTAAAGAGGTATTGGCCAATCCTTCCAGTTAACTGTAACTCAACCACTCTCTCTTCTCTTGTCTCTCTCTTTCTGACTGACACAAACATACACCTACGCACACTTAGGTAACAAATTATTAGTTTCTACAGTATATGCTGCAGATGATGCCTCCATTCCTATATTTGCTGTATACGTCCATGCATATATACACACATACACACAACAGATTGACAAGACTGCCAAAAAATCCGTGTCCAGGTGGGAGTAGAGTGAAAAATGGATTGATGACATTGTGAAACGCCGAGTGCTCCGTGTGAGATGGTGCTGTTATTGAGGTATGTTAGTTTGGGGGTGAAAAGTCAATTATTTAAGAGACAGATTGTGTAACATGAGTGAAAGCATATTTGTTGGAACAACTAATGTGGTTAAAAAAATGTTAACATGGAAATAAAAAAATGTTTATTTTGTTTAGTACAAGGGGGACAAGTTACATAGAGCCTAAGGAATGTTATTTGCCACACATGTGAATGGAGTTGTGCCATTATTAACCAGATTACAGTGAACTCATTGTCTACATAGAGACCCACAGAGGTCAGGACGGATATGATGCTTCCGTAGGTGCTTGACCCTGATCTGTCTTCTGTCTTCAGTGTTTGTTCAGATTTATAGACTGCACATCTTCTAAAGAAGAAGTGTCAAATATGAAAATAAAAGCTTGACATGTGGCGGCACAGAGGAGAAAAACAGAGAGAATGGCAGTCAGAGTAGTCATGGTATTTCATATAACTAACTGAGCTGGGACCATGAATAACCCCTCTCTTTTAGCATGGAATATAAATATGGAATGTATGCACACTTGTGCTCTGCAGTATGGAAACTGTCACGCAGGTTACTGCAGACATAGTGACCTTTAATGAGAATGTAAAGTCATGCTAAAACACGCAGACACATACATCAGCAAATACACAATTTAAACAAGAGCCAGTGTTATAAAATTACACAAGCACACACAAATAAGACACACCTTGATATGGCCTCCATAGGTGTCATGGCTGTAGAACTGGCACATGTTGTTTCCGTAGCAGGAGTTTTCCATTTCTCCATAGATGAGTATGTTTCTGGAGAGCAGAGCCACTTCAGCACGCATGTCGACTCCATCTATGATCTCTCCAACATGGTTATACTGAGGCTTCCCTGAGTAGCAGAGACAGGTCGATTCTTGGTCATATGCTACCAACTAGGTGAAATTTTTAGAGAAAAATCTGATACACAATTGGACAAAAGCTGGAAAAGGTGAAAGTGATTATTTTGTATGAACACAAATGTCAATCACTCCATTCCTCCCAGAGAAAGCAGAAAACAAATGAACACTGAAGGAAACTCATTACTAAATAACAGGGCAACACAATTTGGCTTCAAGTTCTTGTGTAACCTTTCTGAGGTGGTACAAGTCATACTGAAACACACACCTTTCCATTGATATTACATTTACACACACAAACAACTATCCACACCCCAAAACCAAGCAAAATAATGGACTTGTACAAGCAAAATTAATCAAATACAAGTGAAACACAAAATAATCAGCTCTTTGACAATGTGGAAAGTACCTGTGCCCACAGGGTGCAGAGACCAATGTTAACGCACAGCAGTACTCCAGCTGCTCAGCCCTTCCTCATGGCAGCAACACAAAAATTAGGCACACACACAAACTAGTACACCCTTCTCTTCAGGAAGGGAGTTGGTGATTGTTGACAACAGAGGAATGAGCTCAAGAAACATGTCTGATAGACAGTTGGATAAAAAACTAACAGAATTCTAGAGAAGGAGCAGAGGAAAGGATGTGAAGCTGAGGCAATGAATCCAAATCCATACAACCACTGTGGTTATTTTAAGATGAAGTTAATATCAAAACATAAGCTGACAATCTCTTTTTAGCCTCCTCCAAAAATCTGATATCACCACGACAACAAAACAGGAAATTAGATCTCTCTGGACCCCACAATTAGTAGCACTACATTTGCTAATCACATAATTGACTATGATAGAGAGTGTAAAATGTTATTCGTCTTCTTCTGCTACTGGCACAGTATTAGCTAAGAGTCTTACCACAGCCTTTCTAATATAAAATATGTCTGTACTGCACTTTGCATAGCTCTTCCTTCCTTTTTCTTTCTGCCATCTTACACATTTAGCAGGAACTGTGAAGCTCAAAATGGTAACCTGCAGTACAATTCTCAGGTCAGATTACAAGCCACACACACACACACACACACACACACAGATCGCCCTGCTCCAACAGAGGACAAACAATCACACAGATAGTCAGTTTCTGTTTGCAGCCCTGAAAACCACAGCTATTCTCTCTCACCTTGTATCCTGACCTGCCTGCTGGTGCAGTGAGGACAGGGCAGCAGGGTGAACTCTTCAGCCTGGTGCATGGAGTAGTCTGTACTGGCAACTACAATGCGATCCCCGGGTTTCCAGGTCTGCTGCACTTCATCCTGAAGGTTCAGCACCACCTGGTCCACAGCATCCACCTGGAAGCCTGAGATGGGGAATCCTGGAAGGACATAGCAGAGCACTTCATTTAAAAGAAATAGGAGGCACAGCATAACGTGACAGTCTGAAGGTTTTTTTTTTCTGAAGTACCTTATTTAGACATTAAGGATAGCCACACTAAAATAAATGGCTAATCAATGTATAATTTTTAAATGCTATCAACACTAAACCATACATGTTTAAATGTTTTTTAACTGATACCATCATATATTGTTCCTCACCATTCCTCCATTCGCTGTAGGCTGTGACTGAGAAGCCCACTCCATCCACAGTTGTGAAGTTGCGTGTCGCCAGAGCTCGTCCTCCTGTGTCGTGGTTCTCATGTTCCCTGGCGTCCTCTGAGCATGATGCGTTACCACCGTCTACCACAGACACCAAAGCCCACGCCTGCCTAGAGAGACCGGAGGGATAAAGACACAGAAAGGAGAGGGAGTCATTTTCAGACATTACAGAGAGTAGTTTCACACATTTATATCAAAGAACATTGAATATTTGGTCATCAAGTTTTGGGTCTAAGTTTCCCACAGACTTTCTTTGGATGATGAAAATAACTTTAAAGTGTAGTTACTCATTTCCATTATCATATCACTTGTTTCAGCTTTTAATTTGTTCACATTTGGACACTCCCATACCCACACAAGCACAAATACCAGTTTTTACTCCATTAAGTTAATGATACTTCATGTAGCCTAATTAATCATAGCCGTGCAGCTTTAATTTAAATTCTATTAATGAGTAAATAACTGCATCAAACAAGACCCATTATTTGCAACAGACAATGCAAACCAACATCTGAAACCACTGAAAGGTAATGGTAGCTGGAGACAGCACAAAAATTAGTAGACCAGTCTCTGTGCAGAAGGATTTCAGTGAAAATATTACAGATGCAACAGCTAGTCAGATAAAGGGTGTGACCTGAACTGAGCAATAATGTTTCACTGTGTATGAATGTCTCTGTGTGTGTGAGGCATCAGGGTGACGATGTGTCGATCACACACACACCAATGTCTTCCACTGAGACTATACATGCTGCAGACAGGCAGACACTTGGGCTGAGCATCTGAAAAAGGGATTAAACTTGTCACTAGTGTAATGCCCTGAAGGAAGAGCAAATGTATGTGATGAGCCAGAAGCAGGATAGTAGGTGAAAGAGGAACAGGCAACTGAATATCAGAGTAAATGTCATGTAATAATGAAAAGACAGTGATGGGAGGAAAACTGGAGGATGTTGAGAACAAAAAAAAAAAAAAAAAAAAAAATCGAGGGATTACTAATATGAGGGCAAAAGATTTCTGGAATCCAACTTTTCACTTTTGCTCCAAGTCCTTCCTTCTCACTCCACTTCACAATATCTTATAAAGCAGGAATGTCAAGAAAATTATTTTCAAATGAGATTATAATGATTAAATAAGAAGAAGAGGCTGAAATCATGTGAGCAGAGGAGCGTGAGGGTGTGGATGGCGAATGGGATTGTGATGTGGAAGGGTGTATGACCTAAAAAGACAGTGTAGTGCAACTGGACAAGCCTTAAATGTATCAAATGCCATGCCCCTAACTTCTTAGGAATGACGTCTTGCTTTTTGTTGTCAAGCGTCAAGCTGAATGAGTCAAAACAAGCTAAAAGCTTTCTTGCTATTCATGGATTGAATAACATTTTAAGACTATTGTTCTAAACTATGACATGACCTTTATATTCTTTATCAGCATAAACTGATCCTGACCAACATGACCTCCCAGAATTTAACCATTCAGGAGCCTATTTTTAAACCTATATCTGGACAGGCAGCTGTACATTCTGATAGACTAGAGGAAAGTAAGTATGTAGGAGTCTCTTGTTTCCAATAAGAGCCTGCTTGGCTAAAGAAAGTAAACAGTGCCAGAGGCAATTTCCCAAATTTACCTTCACACTTACCTCTCTAGCTCTATTTTATCAGGTACTGCAGTAAAGCCTGCAATTCAAGGCACATTTGAACATCATACAAAAGTGATGAAAGGCTCATTCTCCTCCTTGGAAAATTGTCTTTGGAATAATTAAAAATTTGAAAAAAAGAGTGACTTCATATTTTCAGTGTTTACCTGCTAAATCTCCCTGAATATTAGCAGCAGGTTGTGACGCTATTATTTCCAATATGCCTCTGTGTTAACCTGCCTCTGGGCATAATAATTGCTCCCACCAGCATAATCACAACCCAAACCTGTTTTCTTATGGATGAAAGGGTCACTCTGCACTCCACTGACACATAAACAGGATCCATCTGGAGATGCACTCTGTTCTGTCATTACTGCCCCAGTGTGTGGCTTTCCACAGTTTTCCTGTTGGGGAAAATCAAGAAAGGCCCCTTTTCTGTCCTCAGGCTGCTAATATGCAGCCTGTGCGAGTGCACACTTTACAAATCAAACAGATCCAGGTCCAATAGTTAAGAGGTGCACAAAGAAAATAAGAGAGAATGGTTGTTTCACTTTTTCCTTTTGCCACATCCTTGATTTGATGTTCATCAGCATTTTAACAACCCCATTGTTTGACCGGAAATGGCAAATGTGTGGAGGCCAGAGGTGAATTCACTACAGACCGGCATGAATGTGTGTTTATGTGTTTGTGAGTGCTCTCCTGAGAGGCAAAGATTAAAGACACAGAGGTCAACAGGCACGAGGCAGGAGCCAACACATTCATTTATCTGTGTCAGGAGGGATGCCACTGAGACCAACCTATAGAAATTTGATGGTATTTTGGGTGATGTGGTAGTTTGTTATTGTTTACTCTAAATTGAGAATAAGTTGGGAGATCACAAGGGGTTTGTAGGGCACCCAGGTGTTATAGCACTGATGCAAAATAATAAAAAAAAAAATGTTGGAAAAACAAGCACCACAGTTAGTTCCCAAGTATTTTCCTGCATAATTCCCTGCTGTTTCTCCACAACACTCCATTAGATGTCATAAACTGATCTAAACCATTATTATGCTCAATCCTACAGGTTATATGCCTTTACCTCCCAACTCTTTCAACTTAAAATCACTCAACCTAACATAGTGTGACTTTAATGACACATTAAACTGCATGCTGTCTCATAAAATTATGCTATGTGTTTCCTCCTACTATAAAGAAAATCCACAGAAAGCTAAGATAAAAATCTCCTCTCCAATAAATGGTGAAAGGGAGTGCACACTTATTGGCGCACACACACATGGGCTTTACCGTCTGATCCATTTAAACCACTGTGCTGTGGATTTGAAGGAATTTGTTTGAAGACCTCTGTGCTGCCTTGGCACCCACCCCCAGAAGCGAAATGTGACACTGGAGAAACTGGCGTAGCACTTCGCTTTTCAGCCAGCCAAGCACCAAACCAGGCCAAGCTACAAATAACACAAATAAGTGAAATGCTGCACTTAGACTATCCATTGAAAGAAACACACTTTTGCACCCATGTGTTTGAGTGACGGCAACAGAAGATCTAATGTCATGTAAAGCTAAAACCCACTTCTGTCACTTCATGAGCTTAAAGCAAGCATAAGCTCACAAGGACAGGACTACAACCTATATCAAACTTTAGTATCTGTTCTTTTGATAGAATAAGCTTGATGGACAAAAAATCTCCTGAATTGCCACATTTTATGCAAACCCTGGAAACTGTGACCATAACACAATTGTCGGGTATGTGCTTCCTTTCCTGGCATAGCACGATATAGCGGAAAAACGGGAAACAGGTGGAGGAATAACTAGGAACGATTAAAGGAAAGATCCCAAATGAAAAGAAAGATACGTGAAAGAGGACAGTTTTCCAGAGAGGATGGACATGGAACAAAATGCTGGTATTGTCAGTCCTAGGATTAAGGCTTCAAGTGTGAAAGGCCTTACTTCAGTGGTTGAACAAAAACATTAAAAGCATTAACCTTCTTTATCAGCCCCAGGAGACCAAGAATAAACAAAACACTCCCAAACGCTTTTAAGCACAGACAATACACCATGGAGAACCAAAACAAATTCTCCAAGAGCTGGCACAGTCTGCAACATAACTGAGCCACAAACTCACTCACACTTAATTGTTGTACAGACATAATCACCACTGCAACATCAAGAGACAATCCATGTGTTTTCATTTGTAAAAATACATAATTTAAAAGGCTTTAAGACATCTCTTATATTCATCAATTGGAACTATTTACCTGTATTTGAGATCATAGACAAAGCTGCTGCCAAGCTTCTCTTCAATGGTCTTCTTGGTTTCATCTAGAAGACTTTTGACGGCAGAGTCTCCTACAGCCAGAGTGACAATGCGGCCCGCTGGCAGGGACCGAAGCAACTGGGTCAGTCGACGACTGTCATTACGGGACTCGTGTGTGTCATAGCGTTCAGACAACAGTAATTTGGCTGTGTCCTGGTCCACCACACGCAGGTTGATGCCTCGGCTGAAGTTCCGCTGGAAGGCATGACCTGCTGTGGCCAGCCCAGAGGCGGGGATGCTTCGGGTCAGCAAAGACCAGGAAACTCTCTTGGTACCATGTAGCTCCAGGGTTCCACCACTCTGAACGCCAATAAACTTACGGCCCAGGCCAGGGACCTCAGGAACTGCCTTGTCATTGGAACGCCCCACAAGGGCAATGGTGGCATGAGAGCGGTAGCGACATTTGGGAGCACCAATGTGAAGGGCTCCACCTTCTTCTATTAGGATGTGGCGTGTTATCAAGGTTATGTTTTTGGAGCCATCAGCATTGTCTGCAAAAACTACCCGACCTGTGAGACGTCAGAGGAAGACAAACATCAGTTCCTGCCTCCTGTATGTTACACGCGCATGTCCATAAACTGAACTAGAGCAGCACAACAGTGTCACATACTTAATAAATCTAAATTCATCAATGTCACAGCTCAAAATACTACTTAACTAATCATGGACCTTGGTCTGCTTACCTCCTGACTGGATGGTCAGTGAGTAGAAGGTTGCAGAAGAATCTAATCTCAACAAATGTCCCCTCCTGACAACAACAGCCTTGTCTGGTTGGTGGCCTGGGTTCCAGCCACTAAGGGACGGGTTATGGTCCGGACAGTTCTCTGTAAACATGACCAATTAGTAACAAATCAGAGAATCTTGTACTTTCCATTTTTATGGGTTCATGAAGAGATTTCAAATTATAAACATCTGAATCAGTACTTTGCAATACTGACCGTCTAACACCTCTCCACTTGTGAGACTAAGGACAAGGATAAGCGTGAGGAACAAGGCACCCATCGACACTCCAAAGCAGATCAGTGTGTTCTTTCTTTGCTGGAGGCTCTGAGCACACTCCCTGCGCTGGTGCTCCTCTGACAGGTTGAAAGCGGCTGGTCTCTCCGGTGGTGGGCCATGAGGCTTTAGTGGTGGAGGTGGTGGAGCTTTGGCAGGTGGTGGCGAGCGTACGGGAGCCACTCGCCCGGGGACATAGCCTGGGGACCTCTGGTGGTTGGCGTGGTGCGGAGCCACAAACACTGGGAAGTGGCTAGGGCCATCACTCGTCGGCATGGTATACGTGTCTGCTACCTGAGGGGAGAAAAATGGAGAAAGAGTGAAAAAGACAAGACATACAGAATACATTCACAATGTAGAGTCAAACAATGGTGTTCCTGAGGATGTTTGGAATCACCAAGTCATTTTGAAAAAGCAATGACCAATGGGGAAACTCCAACACTCAGCAGTCCGACCAACCTTATTCTTATCTCTCAGTCACATGCCATTTGGCTGACCAATGGTGTAACTTCATCATTCAGTCAGTCTCTCAGTCAGTTGAGACATTCATGTTAATAGGGCAGGCCCCACTGTTACAGTCCAGCCAAAAACAGTAGGAGGCGATGGAAGAAAAGGGCTAATTCTAGGAAAACAGACAAAAAGCCACCAAGCATCTCACTCATGGACCCCCAGGTAAAGATCCTGGGAGTGGGTCTTAAAAAGACTATAAATTCCTCCAAAACAGTCAACCTTTCCCCTGGCTGATTTAGCTTGAACAGAGTGACACCGGCTGCTCTTGTCCACACTAACGAAGGAGGTTGTGAATAATGGATCGCAACATTCCTCAGACTATGTTAACACAGCCAAAACAGATGGCACCAATTACAGTATAGGGAAGGAGGAGAGTGCTCCAGTTTGAGTCTGTGCTGCCTTTATTTCACAGGATAAAACAACGTGAACTGAAGCCATGTACACACACACACACAAAAGGTCACACAGAGACACACCTGCACACACAAGCACACAGCAGTAGAGGAAATGACACTGCAGAAAAAAGGGCTTCAATGGCACTTTTCTTTAACACAAACACCCTGAACACTGTAATGACACCACCACATGCTTCTATAGGTTTTCATAAACAAAACTTAAGCAAGTTCAAATTTTCAAACACCACAGTTGGGCCATATGACTTGAAGAATGACCAAGTCTTTTTTAAAAGGTTGTTAAAAGTACAAAATTGCAACAACTGTCTGAGACAGGTCGAGTCCAACCAAAGACACCCTGAAAGTGAGGACTTGTAGGTTTTTAACACCATCCAAGGGTCTATCAGTACTTAACACACACACACAAATATGTGTGAAAAGACACACACACGCCTGCACCAACCCACAGACACACACAACCATTGTCTTGCCTTGCCAATTAGTCATCATTTTAGCCCAGAGTACAATGAACCTCTTCAACTCACAAACAAAGCAATGTACCATCAAGGACTGCAAGACAAGGGGTCAGACATTTATCTAGGCCACAATATAAGCTAGGCCTAACAGCAACTGTTTCACCCACTTCAGTCAGAATGATCCCATTGCAGTGTCTCTCTGGACCAGTCTTTGTAACTGATAATTCTTTATCCAAACCTAAACTGGACTGTCATCAACAAAGACATGCTGATTATGCTTTCTTTCAGATGTTCATCATTAGTCTGTGCCCTGCATTAGACATTGTCAGTGGGAGCCCTGTGATGGGATGATCCCCCAGGCATCAGTCTTTCCAACCCAATCTCGCTATGTTTTTATTCACATTCCTTGCCATAAAAAGGGCCAAGCAGCTCCTGCTCCCCTGCTACTAACTGACCTGTCAGAGCATAAAGAGTTGTGGACTTGGGGCTATTCAGCGTCTGGAAATGACACAGATCTCAGGGCTCATTTTCTCGCCCATCCCCTCCCTCCCTCTCATATTTTCCTGATTTCAGCTACTGAATATCAAACAGATGTGGGGGGAACACTGGAGTCGAAGCGGGACAGACCATCACACATTCCTCGGCTGTAAAATCATACTTCACTGAGGAAATTGACACTGGCAGTGCGACAAACAGTAAGCCATGTGTTTCCTATATTAAATCTATAAGCCGAAACAGCGCTGTCACAACTCTTACTATAAGAGTGGTAGTGTAGTAGTAAGTGTAGCGGGTGAGCCGGCCCACGTTGAGCGGTATCGTGTTAGAAGGTGTGTTAAATGGGAAGATTGAATATGATTTATGGCCTTGTTTTGGCTAAAGAGACTCCTTCCACACCACATTCCTCACAATAAAGAAATATTACTGTATTGTCAGAGGGACACTGGGTAGTATAACAACTTATCAACACAAAAGAGGAACTTAGAGGATATCATATGGCATAGGCTAATTTACGCAGCTAGTTAAGTAATGTGACATTTCGTTTCGATTACAGTGGCTTTTGTCCACTGTGACAATCAAGGTACGGATGGAACACGTAGCAACACACTACTTAGAACTTTTAAACACTAGCTTGGACACACAAAAACATTAATTTCCTCTTTGTACGAGCTTACTAACCCTCGAGAGAAGCCTCTTCACAAGAAAACAACTTAAAGGTTCAGCCGGTGAGTCCTCTATCACCCCCATCGGTTGACAGGCACACACAGACACAATGTAAACGGTCGTGAGGTCGTACCGTTGGTGAGACTATCCTGCTCTTCTCTGGCTCTGTCCATTCGCTCTCTGCCGAGCCGTTAAAAACGCTGACCCGGCGGTGGTGGTGCTGGTGAGACGAATGATGAAGTTCTCACCCTCGCAAGTTCGCTTTCCCTGTCTCTTTTTATATACTATTTCTTCACATGGTGTTTTTTTTTTTTGCTGCTGATGGGCTGTCGTCCGTCCGTCGTTCAGCCCCCAGTCCCACCGAGAGAAGAGAAGGCAGGCGCGGCTTGGGATAGAGGAAGTGATGATGCGTTCAAATGCTGTCGAAAAAATAGATGAAAACCCCCGAGACACAGCGTATTGAAAGCACGTTAACGGTGATGATGTGGTAATTGCGGTAGTATTAACTATTGTAATATTATTATTATTATTGGTAGTAGTAGTCTCTTGGATTTTAAAAATACTAAGGTCATGGGTCCAAGTCAAATATTCTGTAAATTTCATTTCCCTCCATGAAGGTCTGAATGCTTAGGCTATTATTACATTTGTATTTGTTATATTAAATTATTTTGTTTATGTTAGTAAATTATCGTATTTGTCTATTTTATTGACTACAAGCTATCAATTATATGTGTATTGAGTATAACGGTTTCATAGTTTTTTTAAATTGTAGGGTTTAACCAAAAGACACAAATTCCCAGGAAAAATACCAAGGACATGACCTCAGGGTCTTGGCAAGTAACCACAGCTTTGAAGAGTAGAAGTTATCACTGTTGTAGAAGAAGTAGTACTACTATAATCTTAATTATTTTAGTAGTGGAAGATGAGTCCTGTATCAGAGCGCCCTTAAAGCATTTAGTTTTAGTATTTAGTCCATGGTAGCAATCTGGGTGCTGTTAACATAATATGCTACTATGGAGAAAATTGTTATGTTACGACAACTTGATTTACAGATTGATAGCTTGATATGGATTTACCTCCACTGTTACCTGATACCCTGTTTATAGAACCCCTTAACAGGAAAATGCAACTTTGAAAGCACTAAAAACACACTACTCATCTACTCGTATGATAAAGCAAACAATGAAGTGTTATGTGGCCTGTGCGTTTCTATTGCCGATGAAAGGTATCCAAGACTGGGAAGGGTGGACAGGTCCCTATCTGTAGACTTACTAAAATGCATCTCGATAGTTCCGAGGAATCCTAAATGGGTCACACGAATAACTGTAGCTGCATGGTCTAATGGGAGGGGCTTAAAACTAGGCCACACCGCCGCCTGCTGGTATGAAAGACAAAATACCAACCTCCCATGTTAGGAGGCAGACAGAGGGCAAAACCAGATCACAGAACCTTTATGTTTCATAATGATTAATTCTGAAATATTAAACACTTAAAATATCACAAATACAGTAAGAGATTGCAGTGTCAGAGATATAGAGTAAAACTCCCATAGCTTGTATATCTCTTTTTTTTTTTTGCATTCACACTTTAGGATTTTCCCCACATTCTAACCCATTACCTCTGTAATTTTCCTTTCCTCATCCCAAACTTGTTATTGTTATTGATTGTGTCTGAATCACAAAAGATAATATTTGATGCAGTGGTGTTGTGTTGGATATCATGACATTGTACAGCTGTTTAAAGCTGATCTCCATATAACCAGAGCATGT